TCTCTCCTTTTATAAAGTATTTCTTTTGTTCCCTATTATATTATCTATTATTAATATTACTTATAATAAAATTATATATAAGTTATTATAAGTTAATATTATATAAAAGTTTAGAAAAGCTAAAGAAAATTATATTAATATAAAACTTTAAACTAGATAAGTTTAGTTTATTAATATAAAACTTTAAATTAGATAAGGTAATATTATTATTATAAAGTATATTAGATTTTAAATATAAATAAGACTTAAAAGAGAATATAGTAAACCTAAAAAAAATATAAAAATAATAAAAATAGCGTCTTTATAAAGTTTATAAAATATATAATTTATATAAAAATAAAGTTTAAAATACTTAAATTTAGATATAATTATAAATAATAAGTTTAGTAAATTAGAAATAGGTAATAGACTTAAAATAATAAAAAACTTACTAATAAAAAGTAATTAAACTAAAAGGATTTATAAGTAAATAAAAATAACTATATTATAAGTTTTAATTATTTTTTAAATTTTAAGAGATTTATTTAACCTAAATCTTTAATAGGTAAATTAAATAAATTTCGCTACTTATAGATAGATAGTTAATAAATAAAATTATATTAAAATATATAAGATATTTAGATTTAACCCTAATAAAAAATAACTAATAAGCAATATATTAAGCTTTTAGGCTTTAAAATTATAATAATAAAATTATAAATATTTATTATATACTTATTGTTAAAGAGTTTATATAAAGGTTATAATAGTAGTATAATAGCTAATAAATTAAATATTAAAAAAATAAAATTTATTTTAAATTTATTTTAATATTAGAATTATAGTAATTTTTTTATTTAAAGAAATTATTATAAAGTTAAATAGTTTCTGTTAATAAAAAGTTAAAAATTTATAGAATAAAAAACTAAAAGGCTTTATTATAATAAAAAAGGAAATAGTATATATTATTAACTATTAAATTTCTTTTAATACTTATATTATAAAGATTCCTTAATATTAAAGCTTTAACTAAAACTAGGTATTATAATAGCTTTAATACTAAAGAGTTTTATTACTTAATAGTTATTTAAGTTTAATAAATTTTATAAATAAAATAAAGGTAAAAAGCTAAGTTTAAACCTTTAATACCTAGTTAAATATACTATTTACTAAGACAAAAAAGCTTTAAAATTTTATTTAAAAAAATTATAATATAAGTATATAGAAAAATTTATAACTATAAACAAACTTATAATAATAAAGATAGTTATTATATAATAAACTTAGAAACTAGCTATTTCTTTATTTTAATAATACTTTTATATATAATATATATTATATATAATATATATTATAAATAAAGTACTATATATATATTATTATTAAATAGAGCTTTAATATTAAGTCCTAGTTTTAGCTTTTATATAAGTACTAGGTAGGAGACTTAGTATATTCTAAGTAAATATTTAAAATAAATTTCTATTAAAAAGCTTTATAAAGTTAAATTTTTAAATATAAACTTTTAAATAGTTCCTTAGAGATTTAAATAATACTATATATATAACTCTTTAGACTTTATTGCTTATAGATTTTTTTAATTAATAAATTTATTTTAAAGGTTAGGTTAAGGTAAAGAAACTAAATTTATATAAATTAACTATTAATAAGCTTTAAAAATATAATACTAAGTTTATAAATATAACTAAGAAACTTAATAATATAATAAGTAAATATTAAAATATTTAATTTTTTTATAGCTAAGATTTTATTAAATTTATTTCTTAGTAAAATTATTTAGGAACTACTTATAATACTTATATTTAAAGTTAGCTTAATATTCTTACTTAAGTATTATAAGGTATTTAAAACTTTTTTAAGAAATTTAAAATAAGCAATAGTTTAATATTATAAAAAAAGTATAATAAAATATAATAAGTTTTTTATAAAGTAAAAGCTTTTTAAAAAAAAGCTAAAGGAAATTAATAATTTCTTACTAAGAAATATATAATAATAGCTATAAATAGTTATAACTTTGCTACTACTTATAAAGTATTAGATAACTTTAATAGAAAATTTTAATAAAGTTTTTTTAGCTAAAAAAGTTTATAATAAATTTTTAAATTTATAAAACTAAATAAAAAATAATTCTCCTTTTTTTTTATAACTTAATATATTGCTTAATATAGATTTCCTAAAGCTATTTAAATTATTAAAAATTATTTAAAATTATAAGATAATAAATATAAAAATACTTATATTTATAAAAAATATTATTATAGCTATTTTTATAATAAAAGTAAGTAGTAATTTTAAATTTTATTTATAACCCTGTTACTATAATATACTATAAGCTAGCTATAAATCTTACTAATATAGTAATAGTTTTTTAAAAAATATAATTATTATAGCTTACTAGCTTATATATATTCTTTAAATATAAAAGCTAAATATAAAGTTTATTTTATTAATAGGATTTAAAAAAAAGGATAGAATAGACTTAGTATAAATACTAGATATAGTTATTAAAATTATATTATTAATATTAAAAAAGCTAATTCTTATAAATATAATTAAATACTTTTCTTTAAATATAATAAATTAACTTACTATTATAAGATAATACTTTAGCTATATATATAAAATTAGTTAAATAAGTATAATATATATATATATACTTATAGCTACTATAAAAAAAGTAGTATAAAAATAGAAAAAGGAATTATAGATAAAGTTAATATATAAAGAATCTTTAATTTTAACTTTTATAATTCAACTACTACTTAGAATATAATTAATAAATCTATATCTAATATATATAATATTAAATTAATTAATTAGAGTATTTATTTATAAGTAATATAAATATAAAGTTAATTTTTTTAATATTATAAAATTAATAATAATTTAAAATTTATAAATAATCTAAAATTAATTTTATAACTACTTTACTTTAGAATTTAACATTAAGTTTAAAAATTTGAATTTTAATTTAAAATTATTAAGCTTAATTAGTAAATAAATTACTTATTATATATTAAGTAATTATATAAATAAATATTATTATCTATTTTATAAAATAATCTGCGTCCCGGTGAAAGGGGCGCCCCTTCCTGCTTCCGGCTTGGCGGGGCCCGCTTCGGGTTTGGCGCGGTCCGTTCAGGCAACGCGCCCGGCCTTGGCTCACCCGCCGCTTTGCGCGAGGTATAAAGTCCCATCCCCCCTCGCGGTTTTCCTTCTTCCTTCCACCTCTCCTTCACACTTCGGCCGCCTCGTCGCTTCGGCATGGGTCTGCGCCTCTCCCTGGGCCGTCCATCGCCGATCGTCGGGTCTCGACCCTGCCTGAAGCACATCGGCCATCGGCTAGGCAGGGATCGCTGGCCTCCCAACCTGCCCACTCTCATCCAGTATTCGGAGTGAACGGCAGGAACGCCCCTCTCATTCGCTGTCCCGTGGCTCCACAGCTTCGCTGGAGCTCAGCTCGAACGGAGGATGTTCCATTCTGGGGCGAGCTGAAGGCCTCGGCTCGCTCGGCTCTCCTTTTCGACCATTATCCCTTCGCCTCCTTCGCCGATCATCGTTTGACGAGAGCCTAGCTTGCCTTCGACTCGGCAACGGCATTGGTCGAGAGCGTCGATCTGCGGCGACGGTCACTGGGGCGAAGTCGCCGCTGGCTCGGAGGACGGCTGGGATGACCTACTGAGTGGTCAATGGAAAAAATGCCTCGTTAGTTCGCTCGGGTGTTCATCACGTCTGTCTGAGCGCCTCGGCGGGGAATTCTTGACGATGATCCAATGAGTCAGCACGAAAGGGCCTGAGCGTGAAGCCTACCACAGGCGCCGAGCTGGATTTTGTGATGGAGCCCCTAGAGTGGGGCCTTGGATCCGTTCGGCAGCGTTCTCTGGCGTGTCTGCCTTGCTGTGCCTGTCAGGATGTCTCAACGGCTTTCATCCGGTGACGAGGCCTTTTCAAACATGGATCTCGTTTTTGGCAGGGGATCGGGGAGCATGTGACGAAGCCAGTATGTCAGGGAGGCTTCAGCTCGAGGATCCAGACCGCTCCAGCTGACCGGTTCGAACGAATTGAGACGTGTCGGGAGGCGCAGCCCGAATCTAGCTGCACGGTGGACTAGCGATTTTTCATAAGGCTCTAATGACTGATGGCTTACGCTGGGTCGTGCGATCTGGTGTGGACAAAGGTCTGTTGGATCGGCGATCGGTGTTTTTCGAGAAAGAGAGGAGAATGGACAGGGATGGCAGATTGGCAGTATCGGGCGCATATAAACCTCTTCTCGTCGTTACACTCGACCTGCCACTATTTTTCCTGATTTTCAGCGGACCAGATCGGCCGACGTGTGTCCTCTGGGCTGCTTTTTGTATTTGTGTCTCACAATGGTCTTGGTTGACATGGATGCCCTTCAGTTCTACCAACCCCCGGCCAAGGCAGGCCTGCAGAGCGATGAGCGGCCCACAACCTCCAGCCTTCGTACTCCTGCGTCTCGTTGGGAGGGAAAAGACTTTGCGGCTCTTAAAGCGACCCAGGACTCGAGTAGAGTACTGCACAATCCCGATCTGATCTGACCTCAAAATCTGACTGGTCCATTGCAGAAGGACTCCCTCTATTCATTCCGCGCACCAGGATTCGGTCTCAACAACACCAAGGCGGACAGGGAAATTGCGAGCATGCCCAGTGATCGCGTTATCACAAGCTGGGACGACGTGATTCCGCTCTCGTGTCAGAGTGCCAGCGATCGCCTCTATCGCCCCCGATTCCGTCACCCTCCAGGGACAAATTGCAAGACTGGCGCCCTCGGCAAGCCCACAGCAAAGAAAACCGCATGTAAATAGGCTGAGGCGACATCTTAAGGCTAGCACTAACCGTCGGTAGGTAACCCAATCGAAGTAAACAGCGGTAACTCCTCTTCTTTAGACGATTCCGGCAGCAACACTGGATATGAAACCTCGTCCGCTATTACTTTTATTTGCGCTATATCGCCTGGCGTTAGCAGTTTAAACGAGGGCAAGATGAAACGCACTATGATTGGCGATAAAGGCACAGGAGAGCCTATTGTTTCTGCATTGAATTTTCAAGAGCATCAAGATAGCAGCTGGCTTAATATCGACTATTTCCCTGACAATAGTCTGCTGTTTAAGGACAATACAGCTGAGGACAAATGCTAAAAGATAGGTAGCATCGAGGACAAGTCCGGGTTTGGTGGTGCTAAAGACGGTCAGGCTGAAAACGGACTTCAAAAGATGGGCCACAATCTTGATTGGGATAAGGACGGGCCTAGAGACGGAAATAGGGAAAAGCATAGTAGGGGAGACGTTATCGCGGATCCAGAGATGGATGGCATTGGGGTGGACGGCGGAGGGTCCTATGGCAAGGACGATCCCAGGGTTGGGGTTAGCGGTGATGCTGAAGGTTGGTAATACCCTCGTACCTCGTTCGTATCAGAGCTGACGTTTGCGGTTCCAGGAGAGCAGAGCTCGTCCGACGCCCAAGCCTTCCAGGCTCTAGTGTACCCCTCTCCTCACGTGGCCCGCAGAGGTCGTAGTAGACCTCGCCGTAGCCGACCTGCGATTACGGTAAAGAACGCCATTTGGGAGGTCACCAAAATTGCTGGAGATGAACAGTCGAGCGTAGGGCGGCTCTTTAAGGTTTAGGCCGAGGCATAGCTAGTAGAGAAAGATCTCCCGGCTTTCCGTGACGCTATTGCAGCATATCGGGGCAAGCGGGGCCGTACAAAGGGTAAAAGGAAGAGCATATATAAAGGACAAAGGAGGAGGGCACGCCGAAAGGGGGAATAGTCTTGAGCTTTAGCGTTGATTTTTTACCAGAGCCTTTGGATGTCCTAATTTCAGAAACAGCTGGCTTCACATCAGAAACGGAATGCAGTCTGTCTCGGTTTTCCCTCGCCTCTTCCCGCCTGGCCTGTCTTTGTCCAGCCTCCTCCTGCCTCTCCTGCATTATACGCGAGCCTTCTCTTTGCCCTGGTTCGTCTTGCAATGTTTCCGTGTCCCCTTCGATGTAACTGGAAACCCTCCCAGGAAGACCTGGTTGCAATTGTGTGGATAAGGCCAAATCCAAGACTGGGAATGAAGATCGCCTAAAGAACGCGTAGTAGACAGATTTCCGGACAAAAATGAGGTGATGCTTCGCCTTGTTTCTCTTCCGCATTGTGTAAATGCAACCCTGATTGCCCTATCCACAATTCTGTACAGCATTCGTCTGGTCCCTGCCCAAACTGTAACATCACCAGTCATAAACTCGATGAAACGTGAGGCCGTGTTGGCTTTCCGCTGGCCTTTTTCATCCCCATCCTAACGAGAGCAGAATTCAATTGCGTGAAGCCTGGCGCTCAACATCCATATTTTGCCAAGCGGAATTTTGGCAGGACAGAAGAACGGTGTCTGCCATAGATATGCTTAAGTGCAATGCCACATTTTACACTCTTGTTCCCAGAATGAAACTGCAGTGTCAAGATCAGGCCGGAAGTTTGGGTTAGGATCGACACATTCGTTGACAAAATCTTTCCAGTGGGAAGGTATGTCGGCCGTACGTAAGCCCCAAGAAATCGGTCCTGGAGTGAAATCATTTCCATCGCCCACCAGGTACACCTGGCTTAGCTGCTCAAAAATCACCCACAATGTTCGACCAAGACTGTACACTTCAGCCGCCCGAAGCGCGGCCGGGCATTCGATCTGCCATATTGGAAAAATGTTCCATCTAGGCCACTTCCAGTGGTTTTCGCGTCGCGCTCCTGTGTGTTTTCGATACATCAACTTCGGCGTCTCAGCACTGTCTTGCGAGACCCCGTTCCCATCCGGCTGGAGCCTCTCGATTTCGACATCCCACGAACCGTCCGCTTCTGGAGCCATGAAAAAGGGCGAGGCACCAGACTGCTCCCAGTCAATTAGGACAGCGTTCTCATCATCGTCGAGGAGTATGTTGCTCGGCTTCAAGTCCATATGATACTGACAGGATACATGCGTCGCCGCTAATGCGGATGCTATCTGGCGGGCCCATTTTGCCTTGAGTATCAGTGGAAGCCTCTCCCCAGTCGCATTGCTTTTATTGAGAGCTTCTTGCAACGATTCTCTTCGAAGGTAAAGATACAATGCTCCACAAACGTAAGTTTTACTTTTGGTCGGTGAAGACGTGTCGAGGATGGGAATTTTCGTAGTGACAAGGAAATTGGGAGGAGAGACGACATTTGGGTGTCTTGGCAGGGAATAAATCAGACCCAATTCGTGATAAAATGCTTGCCTCTCATCTCCAAAGCCGGCACCCTGTTCTAGAAAGAGTCGAAAGCTCAATCCTTTGTAGACGTACGTTGTTTTAGGCTCCGTGCCATCCTCAAGGTGTACGATTGTTGTATCTCCTCGACCTCCGAGGACGGCAAAGAAACGAAGAGATTCCAGCGACACGAATGCAGTTCGTGTTGGTCGCGAATCCAGAATCAAAGACGACGGGACAAGTTCGCTTGGCATAAGACCTTCTATGTATTCTCGATAAGAGCTCTCGTGCGAGATTCTCCAGACGATCGTTCCACCCGATTTCTCTCCAATCTGGACGACGACATCTGGAAGTCGGATCGAAGGATGCGATGCGCAGTCCCGCCAAATCTGCACTATGGAAGCATGGAGCACTTGGCGCATTTCCTTCCTGCTGGGGAACGAACGTTCGGGATCTTTCACTTTGAACTCGTGAAAGCACGCCACAATGCGACTGTTGACACTCTTCGGTTGACAGGGTTCGAACGGAAAACGGAACAAGATGGAGAGATCATCAGAATAGCTGGTGGCGAAAACACTGGTCTCGTGGTCATCTCCGCAAATGAGTGTTGTTGTGATCTCCATAAGAATTTTCACGACAAGAGCAGCCGTTGGAACGAGCAAATCTGTTGTTCAGGACTACGGGGCAAGGTGCGTGTAGAGTTCACAGCTTGATGTGGGCCCCGCACATCACGTGTCGCAACCACTGTTTCACCAGCTATCGTCTTCCTACAGCTACACATATAATGGACTCGTAAGTGACAAAATGTCTTACGTGCTTCGAATGATTGAATTAACGAGTGACTAGATTTAATCGAAGCTAACACATAAAGACGGTTAAAGCACCGACATTGCTGTGTCGTTTGCAAAGAGCGCTGATGAAAACCACACATTTCACCCCGCCAGTGACATCTGGAGAAGTAGCCGACGGTATCATCAAGATATTCTCTCTCCACGGTGGAACCATGTGCCATCACTGCTTCGTGTTCTTGTGTTGCTGCTGGTGACCCGTGTTGGGACCTGTCTTGCATCTATTCTTGCACTGAGCCAATGCCACTGTCCCTGAGCCGACGTCTAAGAACCGTTAGCCACTCGAAGCCTGATGTTTTCAGAGGATTCATACCTTGGGTGATTTTCCATGCCGCGTCAACACTGTTTCCTTCGAGCGGATCACGGTCAAATGGCAAAGTAACGTTGGCACGGCCGCTCGTGAATTCCATCGTAGGTTCCGAGTCCTTTCCTGCAATGCTTCCAGCCGAGCAAAGCCCTAGGTTGTCAGCGAGCGCACTGGAATGCAGAGCCTGACTCATTTCGACAAGAAATGCAACGTGTGTATCCATATCGATATTCTCCGCCCCCGCGGTAAATTCGTATGGAATAAGCTTGTCACCCGAGAAAGCCCATCGACTGGCAGCTACGGAAAGGCCGTCTGGGCTACTTCTGATGGGAATAGCGACGTTGCCAAAAGTGACCAATTTCTCATTCTGTTGGATTTCAAAATGCTGATGAAGGAGTGCTAGGCCGAAAATGTCCTGAGCTCGATATTTGCGGAAAATCTGGCAGATGTCGCCCAAAACCTCCGGAGTGCAACGCTTCTTGAACACATGATCGGACTGTATGATCTCGGGCAGAGAGTTGAAGTGGTCGGAGGAGGGAGGAAGTACGACAGACATGTCCGCAGATGGTTGCATATCTCAAAACACGTACGAAGAAGATTTAGAGACGATTTTCTCTAGACGAAGAAAGTGTGAAGCCCACCGCCTCATAAATATGTCCAGAGCGGAACACCGACTTCTCCGAAAGGGTCGATCAGTTCTAGCTCGAAGGTGATGAGTGTGCGACCAACATGCAGGGTGACAATTGGAGGTGTCTTCTCGCAGAGCGAATCGATCGTGATTGGGCCTGCCAATGTGAGTGCATTGACTCACTACGCTTTTCATCCAGGCTACAGCGCATTTAGCCCAACGAAATAGCTCCAGCGACCAGACTATCGGACATCACTTGAACAGAGAAACCCCTGTGGATTATACCGGCGTACGTCCACTCGATCCTTCTCGATGCTGCAGCAGGGGTCTTGAACTGCGTTCCTCCGTACATTTTGAGCCCCAGGGAGGGTCTCTCCCCTTCCGGCTGGAAGCCCGGCAACAATCCGTACAGGGCGAGAATCCTCCCTGTGCTTGAGGCGTTGTTGCCTGGAATTGATTGGATTGGAAACGTCCCACGACAAAATCCACGGATCCACATCTTTAGGTGCGTGAGGCAGCGTCGACTGCAACATAGATCGAATTAACTTATTGGCCCAAAAAAGGCGTGAGGCATAGCGTTGCCAAAGCCTTATATCTTGCATAAAGTGACGGGTACGTCGAAACATTCGAAGTGTCGAATGTTTCCTCGAAGATATACAGGTTTAATACATAAGTGTTCTATTTGAGGCACGCTTCCAAGAGATCCCCAGCTCCAATGAAAGACTGAAACGTCTACAGTACGGATTGATTGTTAAAGAATTACGCCGGTCTAAAGACAATGGCTTTACTGGAATCGCTCCTGCGAGTATCATCCCATGTTCTTCGGTACCAATTGTGGCGCTAGCCCAGCGCACTGAAAATGTGCTGTTTCGCAACATCACTGTCAGGATTTAAAATACCGTAAAGGTAAAACCTCAGCGCGGGAGGTGTAATCGACATCGTACGGCCAAATGTAGCGGCCACACGCCCTCCCGTCGGATCATTTTCAATACGTGCAAGAAACGATAGAGGTAATCCATGAAGAGGCTTTCGATGGACCAGTCCGAACTGCGAGATGCATTAAAAGTACGGAGAATCCATCGATCAAGGTCATTAAATTGAAGTAGATGTGCCTGTTTGGCCTTCAACGATAGGAAGCGCATTGCAACTCAATAACCTACTGTACCAAATCTCTGATTACGTTCCATACCACCGACAATCAGACGCCAACATAGAGAAATGTAGAATTGATTTTGTCCGTCCTAGAATTATATGAATAAACTTTCCATAACGTCGGTACCGTTGAATTCGCGGAAAAAGTTCTCGCTCGCCTTGACCGCTTGCAAGACATGTGAATAGGCTACCTGTGTGTTCTTTTTGGTGGCCAGAGCATGAGCTATAGCAACGACGTTCTTGATCTATTGAATCACTAGGTTAGTGGGAGAGGTCTCTGCATATATTACATTGCAAACATACCTGCCGACCATTCAATTTCGTTTTGGCCAAACGGTCGATTTCCTTGCACGCTACCACTGCTGCTCCATTAGATGTAGGTGCCCTCTGGAGAAAATGCCCCCAGATTTGGTTTCTCGCCTCAATACGAAGTTCGTTATATTTCAACATAAGGTGAATTCTGCTGAGGATCGCTTCATCGAAGTTGGAGACTCTGTTCGTGGTCAGGAACATGATACCCTCACAATATTCGATTTTGCGAAGGAACACCGAGACAAGTTTGTTGCGCGCAACATCATGCATCGAGCGTTGTTCCAGATATACATCCGCTTCGTCCAAAAGAATCAGTGCATTCCAGTGGTTAGCAGTCTGGAAGACGCGTGAAAGCTGGACTTCCATCACCGCCGAATCAAGGCTCAACTCCCCAGCAGAGATCTAAATGTGTCAGACCAAGCTGAAGGATCTAGAGCGATAGACGCACCGAATAGAGCGGTCTTTGGAGGTGCTCAGACACCGCCTCCGCCGTCAAAGTCTTTCCGACGCCGGGTGTTCCACTGGTTTCTGTGTCAGTCTACTCAGAGTGGAGCGCTGCGGGCCATACTGCAAAAGCACGTTCAGACCTCTTCCTTTACCCGCCACGAAGTCGTCGAATGGGACGCTAGGCATCAGCCCCAACCGTGTTTGCGCGAGGGCTATGATGACCTCTTTCTCTTCTTGGGGGATCGTCAAGCATTCAAAGGGGGACGAAGACCATTTGATGTCTTGAATATCGGCGACGGCAAACTCCACTATCCCCATGTCAGTTTGACGGTTACAAGGGAGAGATCAGGATCATACTCCACAGCTTGTCCCCCAGACCGAAGCCTGGAAGAGTCGGACAGCAGATGAGTAGCTTGTTCTCCTCGATTTGGGTCGGCTCTATGCCATTGTCTTTGATTTGGTCAAGGGCTCGCTTTTTCGAAGACTCTGAGTACATTTCCAGGTACCCATCATCTTCCGTCCGTTTCTTCACTAATTCTTGAGGTTGCGGTCGAGCGTAATTTGGGTTCATCTTCCGAAAGAAAGCAGCATCGAGCATGACCCGGCTGTCGACAAAAATCTTGACGGGCTCTCCTTCCTTCATGTAGAATGCTGTGCCTTGGCAATGACGATGATGAGCCCCGAGCATGGAGACAAACTTTCGGCCGCATTGAGTGAGTTGGGCTTTGATCCCCTCCTCGTCCGGATGGTATTGAAGAGGAAATGCTTTGAGTGTGCTAATACGTTTTCTCCCGCGGAATTTGAAAATAGCCAGATCGACCGAAGCTTCCCCAAAAACTTGGCCGTTGTAATCCAAGTACCGACACTCCATATTGTAATATTTGACCCCGAAATTTGTTGCCTTCTCTTCACCGCCATCAAACAGGACGCAGCGTGGCTTATCGGTTCCAAAACAAGTCGTATAGACCACCGAGTTTGGTTTAAAGAGTGCCCAAAGCAAATCGTAGGTAATTTCGTCATTTTGCAGGAGCGAGAGAAAGCGCTGGGCCGTAGACTTGTAGGACGTCTTGATGAAGCCAATCAAGAGGTCTAGGTGCTTAGAGCATGTGGTATTGCGTGTGGTGCTAGCATCGGTGTTGCTCTGATACGATTCTAGTTCGCGGATGTAATTATACAACAAATTTTGCTCGACCTGGGTTCATGTCAGGAATGCGCTCCAGCAACCGGGTTCGGGAGCGCTATACCGTGGGCTTGTCCTCATTTAAATTAATGATCTGGACGTCTCGCAAGACTGTCCTCAAGATGTCCCGCAGCTCTTCTGATTTGATATCAATATAGCATGTGAGGTCCATCGTTATCTTGTCTAAGCCATCATTATTAGAGAGGCGTATACAAAAATCGTCGCACGTACCAATACGCTGGCGAACCACGAATACGTATTGATCCAACTCGCTCAATTCCTTCGATGGCTCAGCGATTTTATACTCATACGCCTTTGCGTCCCAGCTACCAGCAAACGTCCGTCAGCGAATCTTAGCATTTTAGTAGAGGAACTATCTCGCTCACATCTCGTTCACCGTCTTAAACTCCAGCTTTGAGGCTCTGGCAGGAGCTTGCTGCTTGTCGTTTGATGAATCCTTGATGTCCGTCGGCTGATTGGCATCTCCAGGAGCTGGTGGGGTCTGAATAGCTTGAATAGCTTTAATAGCTTTCAATAGCTCTTGAAATTGTCCGGTATTCAAGGTGTGGACCTGCTCACACGTGCGCAGATGAGGGCTGCTAGGAGGAGTCTCCGGCGGTCGTGGAAAAGTAGGTGGCTGGGGAACAACAATGTCAATGGGTGCCATAATTGTTTTGCAAAGTGTGGGCACAACAGTCAATTTGGAGGTGATGCCACTGTTTTAGGCTTTATGAGAGACCGCCGTGCATCATGAGGAACTCCAAGCAGGCCTGTCAATGGATTATATAGTTTCTTGAGAGCTAATCGAACCCTTCTCTTCCTGAGCATCTCGGACATATCCTGCGGGTATCTCTCTTGTTACTGGAAAATGCCACGTCAACCGTGCCATTATCATGTATGAGCGCAGTAGACTCGATTCGTCTTCTAAATCGGGGCGGAGGAGGTGATTGAGAGACGGGAGGTGCAGTAGTAACAAGCGCTGAATGCCCGCTCGTACAGCATTTTCCCGTGTCCCTGCAGGCCATCGCCGAGCCGATGATGCTGCTTTCACACGGAGAATCGAGCATGGATTGAAGTCATCACATGAAGGCGGGAATGGAAAGGAGGCCATCTTGATGCTCAAGCAGAGAAATGAGTATCTATACCTAAAAGCGGTATGTTTAATCCCCTTCTTCTACTGCCTCTCGGACAAGTTCTCAATAAACAGCTTGCTACGTTTGGTGGTCGTGATGAATCCACCAAGCAAAAAAGTTTAGTGCAGCGAATCAAGGTACTATCTGACAAGCGGATTTAGGAAGGAAGCATTTCAACTTAGCTGCAGCGCTATACCAAATTTAGATTGCAAAAGTTTGCAAGCTCGTTTAGGACTAGCTGATAAATCTGGAGGCTGAAGCTGAGGCCTTTCCGAAACGGTTTCTTAATTGTCCTTCGAGCTACAACAGCAGGATGAACTTCGTACCCCAAGAGTCGCAAGGCGATCAAGAGGAATACATCCAATACCTCAAGGCCCTGGTGTATGAGCTTGTAAAGCATCATTCGCAAGATCATGAAAATTGCCAGTTCCTCCCATCAGCACGGTTGCCAACCAATCGGACAGCGCTGGTCGCGACACAATCAGATCCACTTCCCAGAACCTCAAAACGCCCCCAAAAACGAGGATTCGCTAACGAGGATGAATCGTCAGAAGGACTCAGATTCATATCCTGGCAACCATCAAATCAACCTCCCAAGCCCCGCGACACTGGCACTAATTCATGGATGCCACTGGCCAAAAAGCTAGTTGATATTACTCCTTTAGCCGCAGATTGGTGGAAGAAGGCTGAATTTTTCAATCTTGAAACTATCATGCAAGGCGGCGTGGCTGCCCAGTTCGTTCTAGATGGGAGCACCAAGACGCTGTCAATACCTCGGCAAAAAGAGATCGAAGTCTCATACAACTATGGAGCTGAGGAATGCTGGCTCCTCAGCGCAGCGAAAGGTTACGCTGAAACTGCTGCTAATCGAGCCCTCACCGTTGAATGCGTTTTGATGCTCGTTAACTTCCAGAAGTTCATTGTCCTTTGTATATGTGCTGTCCTATCCCAAATGGGAGCTTCCAAAGCGGCATTGGTTGACATTACGCGGATCTGCTTTGGGGATGTCAGCGAAGAATATGCTCTTCGCCTGTGGCGGACAGCTATCTTCTTGAATCAACTTGTTGACGGCCTCGGATTTCGGGGGTGGGGAAATCGTGCCAGTGAATTGCTACTTATCTGTGAGGCAACATCTGTTTCACGGGTGAGTTCACGTTGACTCTGGTCAGGGAATCGCCCACCGCCTTACTATGTACATTTGGCTTGGGCTCCGAAAGCGGCACTTGAATATCTTACTGCGAATCTCTCTACCAATTTACACACACAAGGTGTCGACGAACGGGAGGGTTGGACAAGCCTTTTCATCCCGAGTTTGATTTACAATGTCCTGGGCCAGAAGATCGAGTAAGTCATGCTTCAAACCCGCCATGACTATGATGGATGGATTTTGATGTCATCAGTATCACCCGGATCAGTCATCATCTCAGCTACCAGCATCCAAATATGCTGAATCCAGCCACTTTCTGCGGTCCAGTCAACCCCTGGCGGTTCTTCCGACTTCAGTCTTGACAGAGCTGGTCCTCTCGATCAAAGGTCCAAGTCGATGAAAACACCCAATCCTCCACCGGTTCCCGGTATAAGTACGGCAGCATTTCCGTCGAAACAGACGTCCTCTCCGGTTGCCAGGTTGACGAAACAGCCATTTTTATGGTTCAGGGGTTCGAGGGCTATTATCACAACGGTTGAGCGTTCTCTTTCGTTGACAGCGAGTCCGTGCAAGGGTTGCCACTTTATCTTCAACTCTTTAAAACGGAAGCCGCAATATGCTTTGACTATGTCTGTCGTTATATTGGATGCACTTCTCCCAACTGCATTTGCTGCGCGGTGAATGTTCCCTGGTATCTGGGCTCCAAGTAAGCATTGCAAATTGGCGAGGGTTTCCACGATACTCACTTGGGTCCAATCGTCCACCACTGTTTTGACCGCATCGTTAGTTTTCTCCCCCCAAGCTTCTCGTACACAAAAGGTACTTGGTCAAACTTGACATAGTCGGGATGACGTGGTGCCGAGGTAAGCACACACCTGGCGGACTCAATAATGGACTGACTGCTACCCCGGCCTAATGATAATAACAGTCTTTGCTCTTGATCTTCAATCTTATTTATCGTAGACTCTATGCCGACGCTGGCTCTCGAATCAGTCATTACTGGAGGACGTGGAGAAGTGTGGTGGGAAAGACATTCTCGCTTGCGTGGCAACCCTGAAAAGTAAAAAGCGTTGAGCGATTTAGGTCACATGACACTAGACCCGATGCTACCCGAGCTTTGGTGGGGGCTCAAATCTTTATCTTTCTTACTCTTCCTTTGCGCACTCGTCACCCAACGTCAGAATCCTATGACGTGACGAGCCATGCTCGACAGGAGCTTTCTCACTCCAGGCCAATACAACAGCATTAGACACTTCGATGTCCAGATCCACCATATCCTCCCCGAAGTCTTGCATGGAATTGGAGAAATCCTAGTCAAATATCAAATGCACTTCGAGTTTGGCCCATTTCTCCTCCACCGGCACAGTGAGCTCCGTGCGGGTAGCGTCATGGTGCAGAGGAACCCAGACACTGAAACCGAGATCTGCAGGATGGAGCGGCTGGAGAATGAGGGGTCTCTCAGTCCTTGCTCATTCTACATGGACGCTGCTCGACACTTTAAGGCGTTCGAGTATAAGGAAGGACCTGAAGTGGCTGTGCCACGAGAAGAATTCCTGGAAGAGCTTGGGTCGTTTTTACATATTCATCAACTGGGAGACGTTATTGGTGTATCAACGTTGCCAGCGGGTGATGAGCTATGGGTAGAAACGGTACTCGCAGACGGACAAGGCACGATTGCGAGACGTATCCCACACGATCAGGCCTCACCAGGCGTTGTCACGGAATGGGCTTTCTTTGTACAAGACGGTGTGCTCGGATACAAAGAAATGCGAAAGTGCAACACGCCACCAGAAGGTGGAGGCCATGTGAGAAGCTGATGCTGCAACTTTACCCAGAACAACATTGAAGAGGTCCATCAAAGTCGCATCGGTCGACATACACCTTGAATAGCTACGGAGCTCGAAGGGCCGCTCTCATCAGCCGCAATATCGTTTCAGGATACATTACAATGACAGCATTTGCACCAGGGGATAGCATCGAGAACGTACGCTAAAGCTAAGGGCGGGTCTTTTCACAGTGTTGACGTGAAGAAAACATCTTTGGATAGGGTTTGTGTTAATATAATTGTATACTTGTAAAGTTGTCCAAGCGTCGGCATTGGTTGCTGCGAACTCTGGGTTGCCGACTAGGAGAAATGAGCAGATTGAAAAGGGTTAAGATCGATATGGGCTGACAAGTCATCGATGCCTGAACGCATATTATGTAGGAATCTCGGCAAGTCATGAGACAACAAAGCCAAATTATGACCTATCCAAACGGACCACTGTGTCAATTACCCTTTATAGCATCAAATTGTTGGGAACCAAGGGCCCGTGAGAACCAGAGCTCTGGAATCATCATGTATGTTTATATATACGAGGAGATGGCTCCACACCAATTGCCACTTCTGCTGATCGGCACCTTGTTACCGCAATGCCTTGGCCTGGTCATCCCTCTTGCTCTTCCATGTCTGCCTTGATCATCGCATCTAAGATTCTATTGCCCTCCTCCCAGTCGTCGGAGCTGTCTGCTTCAAGGTTAGCTGCGTCGCTCCGGATGAGGAAGTGATGGGATGATAAGAGCGATATTAGACTACATGGTTTAAGTCCATAAGAAAGCTGGAAATTGATGCGTGAACCCCATCCCTTTTTTGCATATTCTTCACGGGAGAGGGGCTCAGTGTTGGATGAGGTGGATGGAGACAGAGTGGGATTCGCACCCTGAACCGCATTCTTAGAGGAGGAACCGCTTGCGTCTGGTGCCATGATGCTCAAAGCGGTTTGAAGTGTTGCGACTCTGAATAGCCTTTCAAAGGTAACGGTAGAGTGAGGAAAGTAATGACATTCTGTTCGGTGCTTCAGTAGTAATATTAGTCATCTGGTGCCAAGAGGACGGGAAAGGACAATCCGTACTAAGTTTAGCCACCTTGGCGCCACCACCTTTCTGACTTTAGCTAATTTATTAGTATAGTTTCGTGCATATTCGACGGGAGATTGAGCTGAAATCATTGGATGTAAGCGTTGCTGTCCGCAGCTCGTTGATTACTTGGCATCCTCATGTGGACCTCGACGTTTAATGCTTACGAGCCTGGGCGAAATGCGAGTGTGGGTCACAACCTTCGGAAGGTGCTCCACTAAGACAGGTCGGTAAGAGGGGAAGAGGGGCAGACAAAGCTGTGCAAGTCTTGCCGTCAAATCCTATATGAAATTACTCTGCCTCTCATGTTCCCATCTCGACTCTAAGCACGTCGAGAACTATCGCGACCATGCCAGGAACAATTAGGGTTGCCACACTGAAATACGTCACTAGGCAAGATACTGCCAAAGCTATCGCTGCAAGTATTTTGCGTCACAGGCAGTACGTATTAAAACCTTAACCTCGAGTCCATGCTCATTCATCAATAGGAAAGGGGAAGAAAACATCAAACAATTGAATCAAGGTTCAGGCAATGCTGGGATAAATCCATCAGCGGAAGGATCTGAGGTTCGCGTGGTGTTTACCCTCAGCATTCGCCATTCTGACAACCTCTTACAGATTGATGATATGGCCGGCGAGTGCGACAGTTGCGTGATTTAGGGGAGACCGCGGAGATAAGAATTTCATGTAGCCAATGTATCAATCATCCCTCTTGATGAGACCATCACTCTTGAGTGTCTGCAGTGCTGCTCCTGCATCAAACCGCACGGACGCAACACTTTTCGTGTAATCGTCTTGAACCTTGAATGTGCCGCTGAGGTCCTTGTCAATTGTCATGGTTGCCTTCATCTTGGTCACCCCTTCCTTCGCAACCCGAAGACCATTCAACTCAGTTTTGGCGAGTTCGGTAGGTGCTTTCAAGATCGAGTGACGGTAGTATATCGTAAACAGTCCGTGGCTGATGTAATCCAGAGCGTTCTCGAGGTTTACAACCCTTTCATATGGTAGCCTTGCTTTTGGTGGGATCATTTCAACATATCCGCCCCAGCTATCGATGCCATACGAGGCTGGGGATTCGTCAAATATCTGCACCCAGGACAGCGATGTCTCTTTTTCAGGCTGAACAATATCTTTGCCCGATGACAGCAGAGAGGCTGATGGTCCGCTACATTTGTTTAGTCTGCGTATCGGCGTGAGAAGATGATAGGCAGAGGAGACTATTTGGCGACAAGACAGGGACCGATGGACGAAAGAAGGCCAATACATAGAAAAGGTCTCGTTAAGACTGAAGTGCCCATGAGTCAGCGTTCCATCCTCCCGCACTAAGACTCTTATGCTGGACTCACTGCTCTCTGAGGCAGGTACGTCTGCGTATACCGGGTCAGGCGATATTCAACGAAGAGAAACCTAGCACTACAAGCATATTTCAACATGCAGGCTGATAAGTCTTGGAACCCTAGTCTAAACCGCATAAGGCGTATTTCCGTTGTTTGGGCTTGGCATCTCGCAACTACTCTATGGATACGAAGGCTAGATCGATCCCTCCTAGAGAGATGATAATTATACACCAAAAATTCGCAGACTACTTAAAATCTGCAGATCATTTGTGAGCCTCAAGAACCCTTGGCAGGCCTCCTGTTGATTTGAGAACCCTTATTCTTCTTCAGATATCGATTTGACGAAATTTTGGGTTGAGAATTCTCTTGAACCCCGGCCGTAGTTCTGTGGTTGGAGCTAGCTAGTATGTTAATATTCAGCGCAAGCTCATCAGCTGACGTCTCCGACTCCGGATGGGTGGGCTCATTCGATGACAGTGACACAAAGCTTTGCGTTGACGACTCAAATCCAGGGGTTTCAGCATCAAGTGCCTTCGCATTCGCTGCAGCTATGAGTTCTTCCCGTTTCTCCTTCGCCAAGCCTCTGGCGTTCCTCCAAGCAGTCGCCCCTTGTCGAAAAGTATCTGGGTTGCCTGTCATTTTCCATCCGTTGAGCTGCGTCATGCGATATTCGATTGGATGCTGTGGATTGTTGGACTGATTTGCATGTGTAGAATAGAGCGTAAGATCCCCCGTGCCACCATGGTAGGTAGATGTGATTGTGTGAGCGATGTTGTATTGCACTGTACCTGGATCCACGTACGATGAAAGCTCAAGCATCCCTCGTTCGCATACAACCCCGTCATACGTTGCTTGTAGCTTGCACACAGGCGCACTCCCATCCGGGCCTTTGCCCTCCGTGCAGAAGTTGGGCAAGCATGGTGCGGCTGTATTCGTCGATGGCACAATATAAGGCCCAAGCTCTTCTCGGATCTGCTTATTCAGATCCTCCGGACGGGCCCCATCGTAGAAGTCCGGCTGGGCCTTGGTGATAGAGCCATCGGTCAAGTCCTTGAGGTTTCCAAATCGGAGATTCTCTTGCGAAGGGATGTCGGCCGTGCCAGCAATGATCGGGAATGCCTTGCTCATCACTTTACTTTCCGTCAAAGCTTGCATATTCGTTTTTTCAAATTTCCTAAATTCTTCTCGGGTAAAGCGCGACGGAGAAAGGGAAGGTCGTGGCTGTGCTAGCCTCTCATTTATTTCTTCCCAGTTGTCTGGATATACTGAACCATCATCATCATCACTACCATTGTAGTACCCATGAGGATAGATGCCATGATCGATAAGATGATGTTCAAAGTTGCGATTATATGCAGAGCTTTTCCTTGTGGTGGAGGATGTATCCGATTCTTTTCCGGTCTTGGCTCGTTTCCTGGAGCTTGATTGACTGGAGTTCATTGTTGGGCTAGAAGGAACTGATGCCTCGGGATCCGAATACTGGGCTCTGTCAGAAAGGCTATTTGAAAAGGATTGTGTTGAACTTACACCTCGGATGTCACCAAGGCTTGGTCCGCCGTGTCTTGCGAAGCGTTTGAGCTTCGCGAGGTCGATGTTTTCTTTGCCAGTCCGGTTAGGTGGTATAGGGGCAGCAGGCCAGACCGTCCTTCGATCAAACTCTCGGAGAGCGTCGTCAGTTAGCCACACCCGTGAGAGGTTGTCCCAAAAGTAATTGGGTGTCTGGTGTTGTCGGTGTTCTTCAAGCTTTCGCTGTTTGGCGGGGGGCTGCGGTAAGGATTCAGTCTCAGGCTCTGCTTCGCTCAGTTGTCGCTTTCGATTATAAGGTACAAAAGCTTTTGCCGAAGGCATTGGACCTCGATCTTTGCGAACGACGTAAGTTAAATAAATGATAGGGAATAGTTAGATAGAAAGGTGGGAGATAGCGCGCGTCTGCGGAAACGACGCTAGTGCTTGTGAGTCATTTGGATTGCGGGGCTGACAGCCAATCGATGGAATGACTGCTGCCTGGAACATGCAACTAAATATATGTGTGCGTGGGGTAGTATCCATGATTTGTCTCATCAAAATAAAGATGGTGTGAGCACTTTCTGGCATGCATTACAATTACTGTCCCAATGCACCTCTAAACTGGCTTACAAACGGTCACAAATGAAGAACTTGGTGAGCGACCTGGCTTCCTATTCTACGCTTTAGCCTTCTGAGAGGAGTACCATCCGTCATGGTCTGACAGCTCATATCAGGATTTACGCATAGCCGGTAAATACCAGCTTCAAAGGAGAATCGGTGGGGGAGGCTTCGGCGATGTGTACATAGGTAATCCACATGCAAAGAAAGTGGGATTTCCAAGACTCATCGCGCTTTAGGAACCAACATCGAGACTGGCGAAGAGGTCGCCATGAAACTCGAACATGTATATGAAAATGCACCCCTCCTCGAAGCTGAAGTTGATGTCTATCGATCGCTTGCTGGCGGTGTTGGCATTCCACGCGTTCACGCCTATTTGTTCGAATGCGAATATAATGTTATGGTGTTCGATCTTCTGGGACCGAGTTTGGAGGACCTCTTCAATTTTTGCGGTCGCCAGTTCTCTCTCAAGACAGTGTTGATGCTTGCCGACCAGCTTCTCCATCGTCTCGAGTATATACACTCCAAGGATGTTATCCATCGCGACATTAAGCCGGAGAATTTCTTGATGGGTATGGGGAAGTATGGGAACCATGTATATGTCACCGACTTGGGCCTTGCCACGGAACGTCGTGAAGTCCAAATAAAGTCCGTTCCTGCTAGTGTGAAACGACATCTAATAGGCACAGCACGTTTTGCCAGCATCAACGGCCACTTAGGCACTCGTGAGTGCCCCATCCTCGGTTCTTTCTACTTAAACACTAAATATCATCCTAGTGCAAGATCGCTGCGATGACTTGGAGTCTCTCGGGTACATGCTCCTCTACTTCCTCCGCGGCTCCCTCCCGTGGCAAGGTTTTACGGCAAAAGATCATGCGCAGAAAGATGAGCTGATCTTGGAGAAGAAGAAAACGATCAGTACAAAAGATCTTTGCAGGGACCTACCCAAGGACTTTTTGACTTATTTCGACCACATCCGCTCCCTTGGATTTGACGAGAGACCGGTGTATGCCTACCTGCGCAAGATATTTCGCAGTCTCTTTATCCAAGAGGGCTTTGATCATGATTATGTATTTGACTGGACAATTCTGAAATATTTGATGGGTACATGATAGAGCAAAGTCTTGCAAGAAATCGTGGCTCTGCCGAACAGAGCTGACCAGATTGGTTTCGGGTTGAAGAAAGGAAACAGGTCTGACGTCCAGATGAAGGCGGGATGCGAAAGGCCCATCACAGTGATCGTAGATTACGTCTACATTCGAGCACTGATTGTCGGACTCGCTCCGCTAGCCTTTTTGGTCAGCTTTGAATCTCGCAGACACCCACTCAAAGCCACACGTCAACCGACATTACGTACTCAAGTCGCCATCAAGTCATAGAATACCATTTTCGACTTCGCGCTAAGCGATCATTGAATAAACTGCCGTGCGGTTGCACAGCACAACCTCCGAATTCAAGATGTGAGAATTACGCAAGTATTGCAGACAGGCACGGAATTGTCGTTCGTTGCCCACCCGAATTCCCTTGTTCACCACCAAGCACTCACAATCCTCCTTGAAAGCCAACCCGAAGTTATCATTTGCCTTGAGAATTTCGACTAGATTTGCCCAAGACGGCAGGTTCGTGGAAGGATCTACAATATCGGCCATGCAAATTATGTCTTGCCTACTGGCATCATTAGCGCGCATCAAATGGAAGACCATTGCAAAAACCGAAGCCCCGTCGCTGGTTTCCAACCGCCGCTCTAGTGGCATAGCCATCAAAGAGTTATCGGAGGTGTCGGGCCGGGTTGGTGATTCCAAATCAGAAATCTCTTGATCTATCGCGATACCTAGGCCTGTTGCAGTGTTCTGGTCTGTAGCAACTTTGCACTGCGGTACCGTCGATGCCTTGGTTACCATCGCTGCCATACTTGGCTCGGTCAAGCCAGAAAGGGATACGCCCGCTGTGGAGTCCGCAGGAACGTGTCTTCGTAAACATCCTAGGCGGCCTTCAAGATCTTGCCTGGCTGTTGCCTCCATCACCTTGCTCAATTATGTTGCAATGGCTTTGTATCGCTTTTAGGTACTAGAACCAGCCGCTGGTGGAACCATCCATGATATATACAACTTTTGATGGCAGGACGAAACGTCAAAGGATTCGGGATGGGTTGTGAGGAACATACGGCAGAGATAGCATGATTTTTTGCTCACTCCAAGGAAGCGGAAGGAGGGCTTATGCTCTTGATTATAGTCGTAGAAGCTCACAAGTTGCATTTCAGCATGGACTCAAGACGAGAAAGATGTTCCTCTTCACGGCCCCTAACTACTCTCCGTAGAACGCAAACAAGGGGGGTTTTATCCTCCTGGACCGCAAATCGCGTCTTTAGCGGCACCATCACGGTTTCAACGGCCAAAGGGTTGAATAGGGAAGGAAACTCGGAAGCAAGTTGAATCAAAGCCTTGGAGGCAATACCGTAACGGCCTATCTTGAATATTGTGTAAACCCACCGAGGGAGCGTCTGGGCTGCAGTGGAAATTGCAGCTTTCAAAAATTCGACATGATGTCGTTTGGCATCCTGAGCCCACCGTATATGACGGAGCAGGATCTTGGGATATGGATCGGAAGCTAAATTCTTGATTGAGAATATATGTCCGTACTATTCCAAGAATTTTTGAAGCGCTGGACTATCAGCATGTATTGTGGACGTGGAGGATTGCATCACACGTAACTGCACGGCTGAGATGGACTGCTCGAAGATGCCTTTAGTGTTGCAGAGATCCTTGAGATAGTATCGTATCTTTACCATGTCAAGCCGTACGATTCTGGTTAGGACTTCGGTATATGTATCATGTACATTAAGTACTGTTGAGAACGACATTAGTTCGGTATACACGCTTTTCGTAACCACGCGACGGAATAGAAAATATACCTTCACTAGCGACATCGTTCAGCACATTCACCAGCTCTCGGAGCTGACTTAGAGTATTTTCACGTACTCCGGAATTGCTAGCAATTCGAACGATTGTCCCTTGTGGTGACCCTTCTTCAAGACATGCCGCCGACACACTATCGCCACCCTTTTTCGTAGCACATACAAGGGCAAAGGAATTAAGAAACTTCCGTTTAAGTAGACGTTCTCTTGGTGTCTCAATATCATGAGGATCTTGATCAAGACCATACCTAGTAGGTTCTCCACGTACGGGATTGAGTGCGTGGAGGAGAACCGCAGCTTGGATGAATCGATCTCGAACATGGCTAGTCACTTCGAAGGGAGTCATCTTTTTCAAGGATTTGGGTTATCTCTGAGAAAGCAAGGCTGCATCGGTCATGAATTCGCCTTCAACGAATCGTGCGCGTTTTTTCGTGGACGCTGAGCAACTCTACCTATTCGGTCCTTACGTTATAATTGATTTTCTCTTTCCCTTTTCCTTTCTTCCTCGCTAAACACTTCTCTTTCTTCTTCCTTGTACGCGAGATCCATGCTCCTCAAATTGGAGAAAGGGTGCTATAATAACGTTAGATTTGGGGCAGGATGTAGTCAGCAAACCGGGAAGCAGGGACAACCTTTAGAACTGTTCTACGGCGGAAGTCAGCATTCAATACGTGTCCGTGTATCTTACACCTTATCGTCCGATTCACTATCTGTAATTCTGGGGGTAGTTCACTAGTGGAGTCTAACTTTTGGGATGACTAATAGCCTGTTGAAAACAACCAATCGTTCCTGCGCTGTACAAAGCCTACAAGTCGGCCCAACTTTAAGCCGAGAAGCGCTGAACAGGGGCCTGGGGTGACAAAAAAAAAAGTTATAGGGCTGAAAACTGGCACATAAACTGGCATATAAATATTTACACTAAACATCAGCTTTTGCTCTAGGCCGCGTTCTCCCACTCAACGTATCGTTCAGAGCCAATGTGACCAGACGCAAGCAGAGTGTTGAACTCGCGTTGCATTGTATTCTCCTTGATTCGTATGGGCCGCTCATTGCAGCGTCTGGCTCTATATCTTCCGATTCCAGAATACATGCCTCATAGTTTCTCGTGGATACTGGGGCTACCGGTTATGCCTTTATCGACGAAGGAATCGTACCAGAGGTATGTAAAAATCCAGATTGAACCCTGTCCGTTAGCCAAACCGAAACCCCTTAAAGCGTACGATGGCCAGCTGAGTCGAAGACCGATTACTCACTGTTTCTACCTAACGATAACGGTAGAAGGACATACCGAGTCCAACACCCCTATATTCATTACTAAGCTTGGCTAGCACTCCGCCAACCTGGGCAAGCCGTGGATATACCGACATAAAGTCTTTGCCAACGTATTAACCTATCCTAACTCTATCCTTTACACCCTTAATTGGTGTGATCATTTTGGAGCAAAATACACCACCTCCTTTCCCTTACCCTCTGAAAATATGTGTCTACATTGTCACCGGCTGGTTACTTGACGCGCCATGTTTCCCTAATATGATTCCGCGCTAGGATCATAAGTCGTGTTACTTTTTTAGCTGGTTTTGGCGTATTGAAAATCTCCTTAAGTAACTCCCTCTTCAACGTCATCCTGGCGGTCCTTGGACTCCTTGCACCCCTTGGATTCCTTGCAATCCTTGCACACCTTGCAATCCTTGAGGGCCTGGCGGACCAACCCCGGGAAGCCCGCGTCTTCCTCGGCGTCCTCGACGTCCTTGGCCTCCTGGTGGTCCTTGGGGTCCTCGGTGTCCAGGATCACCACGTGCTCCTGGTGGCCCAGCTACTCCTGGTGATCCAGCTGCCCCTTGTTGTCCGGGATAACCTTGGGCTCCTGGGGGACCTTGTTGTCCTTGAACACCTGGTGCTCCCTGTGGTCCTTCCAGACCTGGCGGCCCAGCTGCCCCTGGTGGTCCAGGATAACCTCGGGCTCCCGGGGGACCTTGTTGTCCTTGAACACCTGGTGCTCCCTGCGGTCCTGAGGGCCCTGGAATAAGCCTTGGAGGCTTTTTCGGCAGTCTTTGGATGCAGCAAATGACAAGGAGCAGAAGAACCCCCAAAATGATACATCCCACGATAATTCCAACTGTCGCGGCTGCGGTGTTACCATCATGATGAGAACCTGCGCTCTGGTCGGCGGCTGATGCAGGAGTCTGCGTTGCAGTTACAATGGTTTTTTGTTCAGTCAGTCTGGCTGTTGCGCAGTCCGTTGATGGTCCTAACTGGATTATGGTTGTATAAGTAGTGTCGGGTCTCGTGATGCTTAGTGTTACAAAGTAGCCATTCTCACAGTTCCTTGCTTGCATCCCTAGGCCTGGGAGCAGGTTGTTACTTGGGTGTTCTAGCCCGATTAAGCATGCAATCTACTAAACTATACGCTGCTATACAGCTGAAGATGATCGGGCCGAGGACATGAGCGCTATCCTTGTTATTTCTCTCATTCGCGTCCAGAGTGATTCACTCTTCGAGATTGGAGATTGGCGGAGCGAGGGATGGAATGCGAACCGGGCCCATAAGACAAGTACGTTTGCTCCTGGCGGAAAGCTGACCGATTGCCGTGTTAATATTCCTTAAATTTACTTCACCAGGTCTGTTGGGAGTATCCTCTGAATGCTATTCCTCCATGTGCTTTACCAGAAAGCGATGCGAGAGCGTGACAGGCTTCTTCCTCGTTTCGCTCCCCCTCGCCGAGGCGAGGGGGAGAAGGACAGCTCAGTCATATTTACCAAGGGTGTATGGTCTGCATATGGTGGCTGGCTCGCAGAACTAGCGCACTTAGCTTTGACAGAATGCCTAAGTTATTTCATGAGCCAAAGAAACGTCGACACGGTGGTCTTCAATCTAATGAACATGCTGGAAGGTAAGACGGCTGAATGCGGATAGATTATGCAGCCTTAGCAAATGCCGATTAAGTCATTCAATATTTTCTGACCATCTGCTCAGAGATGGGGTTGTACACGTAGTTAATAGCCGCCTTCTAGGAATTTTTAAAGGTCTTCTAAGCCTCTCGTTCGTAACTCTCCGTTGAATCCGATTCTCAGCATGCAACAATGGAGTGGGGGGCAGATAAGTTGGATGGGACGGAAAGTCGGATCAATCACATTTTGGACAAATCATGCTTTCTTTCATCAATGATGCTTTCTCGTTCAGTCTAGATAATGCGGAGGGTCAGCTACCACCACCACCACCACCAAGGCAAACAAAAAACCTGCAGTGAAACCCACAGGGAGAGTGCATTAAGGCAATGCCTAAGGATAAGGCACATGCATAGGACGGTTCCCATCACGAATAACGTGCCGTCGGGGAAATGGACAAAGCGTCCCGATCTTGTGACACGTCAAAAACGGTTGCTTAGTAATATGTCTCCGCATCTAGTGGTTGAGGTGCCGTTCAAGGCACTACCAGGTGTGGTCATTCTTTATGCAGTCTTTATGGAAAGGGTGCATGCGATGACATCAGGCCAAGTGCACATAATAACAATAGTCTCCATTATTGGACCTGGAAGGTGCCACACAGGTGATGCACATCCGCAAAGCTTAAGACTGGCATTGATTGTCAATAGGCGATTCCGGCAGCGACGCCGAACACGAAACCTCACCCGCTACCACCCTTACATACGCTTTATCGCTAGACGCCAGCAGTTTACGTAAGGGCAAGACGAAAGCCACCGTGATCGGCGCTGGAGACGCGGGAGGGCCCATTGCTATTGAACTGAGCCTTCAAGAGGAGTGCGACAGCAGCTGGCCGGACCGCCACCATCTCCCTCACATTGATCTGGGGTTTGAAGGCAATGACTGGGGACGAATGTCAAGAGGTGGAAACCATCGAGAACGAGTCGGGGTCTGATGGTGCCAAGGACGGTCAGGCTGAAGGCGGATTGCAAGAGATGGACCATAATGCTCACGGAGTTGAGGATAGCATGGGGATGGAGATGGGATAGGGAATAGTGGGGGCGATGAGAAACAATTGACCTTGAATTCTAGGTCGATCTGTATACCTCGTCGACAAGACGTACAATGGGAGCCAGATATTTGAAATTTGCATATGCGCAATGTTGTCTTCTCTAGGTGATCTTCTGCTCTACTAGGTTGGCTTCGGTTCTCTACATCTTTAATTGCCTCATTCGATGGACTAACGCCGGTCCGCCGATTATCAAACATTGGTGTCTGATGTAAGGCGACGGCTGATATTGACGGTGGATAAGAGTAGGTAGGCTGATACGGGTAGGTAGGCGTGGAACGAGCATTCGATTCCTGCCACAGCGGTGGTGGGTTGGCGGTGATGGGAGACGCCTGGCTGTTTTGTGGCAGACTGGGTGTAACTGGTCTCGAATATGACGCTAGATTAGGCGGTGCTGGAGAAGCTTGGGAGTGGAGAGGAATTCATAGTCGGCCGACTGTTATCGTAAGGCTTAATTTCTCTTGGTGCAGGGTGTTGGTGAAAATCCCTCCTCTTCTGAGAAGGGGGATCTTGATTGTTACAATAGGTCGGAATGGTCGGGGCTTTGTGCAGTCAGAGATTTTCTTAGCGCCGACGTTTGAGAAATATGACATTATAGTCGCTGGCTCTGCCCCACTTTGCTTTAGGAAAGGGACAAAGCATTCATACACGCCCGTCGCGCAGATGGGGCTTAGAGTCTCAACCTTCACGCAAAGTCAGGCCTGAAAGCTCGGCGGCCCCCAGGCTACGCCCGTTTCGCTTGCAGGATCGAAGGACGGATACATTCTGGGTTGCAAGATTCTTCCCTACCCACCATAGATCTCCGCCGAAGACTGTTGCGATATGTCTCTTTTAAATCTGCACAGGTGGACTCTTCGAATAACACCAACTTATGTCGTTAGTAAGCGAGTTCCGTAGATAATCGATAAATGAGACTTACTCAAAGTCACCAGTACTTTGCTCACAACAGCCTTCTCTAGAATGTGGTGGAGAAAGATGAACTCATTTTCCAAATTGTTCAAAGCCTTTGGCTTAATCCGGAGTCCGACTTCTTTTGCGACTTTTGGCACATGCCGGTAGCGGACGACTCGTCGTGAACTCGGAAATATATGCGAGGCGTCATTGCAGATTTTAATTTCGTGTGTATGAAAGATCGAATGCTGGGAAGAAAGAGGAGTGAGCGTGGTGGGGGATGAGGGAACGCGTCACGCTATCACGTGACTCTATGATCGCGTCCCTCTGGGAAACCGATGATGACCTCCTCTGTGACTATTACTGAGAAACTTTACCGGATAGTTATAGGCTCATTTTCACAAATCAATAGACCACACATGTTTTCCTACCATCGTCTGGTCAAACTTACTCTCCATCATCAAACTAAATTTTCCATCTATCCAATCACATATAGTTCGAATATACCCCCGCGAAAATAATAAACGCAATTATAGCTGAAATAACCAACATGTGGATCATGCAGCTATGCCGCCTTCTGTTTCCATGCGTCTGTTGGGGTTGTAACCCACGATAGCGACGGTGGGGACCATCCTGTGTTCTTGTTAACGATGGATTTTGTGTGGGTAAATATGCCGAAGATGTCCATTTCAGTGGTATTCTTAGTTTGAAGATTGCTTGTCCGTAAGGGAAGAAAGACATGTCACCGCGGTCAGGCGTAAATTTAATAGCTGGATCTTCAGTACGGACAGGGAGGTAGGATTGCTTGGCGAGAGCGCCGTCCAATATTCGCACAGCCTCAGGATTACGACGATGAGGGTCGAGCACTGTCAGTCCCGGGGGCAAGACAGACCGAGCAACGGGGGCGGAATTCGTGGAAGCGGGATTCGAGGGAGCTCTGATGGAACCGTAATCATTAGGCTGTCGACTGAGTCGTTGCGTCCTCGCCTCCCTTGTCCTTGACAGTTGGTATGGCGAAAATACAGCGGCCTGTCGATTCGAATTCGAATCCCTCTCGGTGATACTGTTTTGCAAGAGCCGAGGGTCATGTGGAAGCTGCAGTCGAGGTTGTTTAATTTCTCGTAACAGGAGAGAAGGGCCTCGGTGAAGGCCAAGAGCTGTCCATGACTCTCTGGTGTCAAGCGATATCGACTTCTGCGTTTTAAGTCATCTAGTCGAGATTTTCTGTATGGTTGCATCGCCTTCCTAGAGACACTGTACGAGGGTTCTGTCCTGACGTAAGACATCTTCTCGAGACGGAGGCCATCTTGAACATGGAGTAGTGCTCGCGTATGAGGATGGGGAGGGGCAGGATGGATGGGGTATAGAATGCGTTGAGCGACTTTGCTGTGCACTCCATGCCTCTCATGACAGTATTCTTCGAAGGGTTTGCCTCTTAAGCTAGACAACTACCGTTTGCGGAGTTAACACAACGATACCTGCGGTAGGCGATCCTCCACTCACAACACATATTTTCGCGGTTTCTCCCGGTCCATCAACGGTAAGTAGTACAACTGGATGATCGAAGCATCCTTTGTCGATCCCCTCAAGCTCTTTCAGACTATTTGAGTCTATCTCTTCTTGTTTCGGCAGCCAACATATGTCGCAAGGTGCGATTTTCTTGGGGTGTTTCATAGCCGACAATAAGCGCATAAAACAATCGCGCAGAAGATGATGCAATGCTCAAATTGAACTAGGAGAACTCAAAAGCTCCTGAACTAGATAGAGTTTCCACCTGTTTCTAACGTCTTTGTTGCTTGGCGTGATTGGTGTTGGACTTGGGCATCCCGGACAGGCATGTTTTGGGAGAAGTCCATCTCGTTCAGGGTCGCGGCTTCGGGCTATAGGTACATCGGCAGAGGGTCTATATCACTATGCTCATGAAAATGTGTGACCGGGGTAACTCTGGAAGTCAGTATAAGAGACGAAGTAAGGTATCAATGTAAGTGGAGATTGATATCGATTTCTTATGGTGCCGGCTTTGCAAGTTCTCGCTTCTAGAGCAATAGAGCAACGCTAAATTTTTTAGCTCAGAATCTCAACTACCCCGCATCTCCACATCAAAACCCTTACATCTTCCTTCCCGCAATCCCACCTCGAGAAGCTCTATCAGAGCCAAAGAGTATATCGCACAAGTAGGTCACAAACCTCTGGTAAACTGAGTCCACTTGAAGTCGGTTTGTAATTGGCGGACAGTATCAATCGAAAATGAAGCTCTCCGCCACCTCCGCCGTTTCTGTGGTGCTCTTTCTCGCACTGAATACTGTTGTTACTCTCGCCGGTCCATGTGCCTACGGAGTTTGTCAGGCCGGATGCGCAACAGTTGTAATGGCTTGCTACGGTGCAGCTGGTTTTACATGGGGTGCTACGTTAGGGGTCACTGCGCCGGCTTCTATTATTGCTTGTAACACGGCCTTTGGAAGCTGTCAGGCGGCTTGTGCTGCTTTGCTTTTAGCACCGACCCCGTAAAATGGAAGAATTGTGGGCAGGTTCACGAGAGCTTATGTTCAGATAGCGCTTTACGGCTGCAGAGGCAAGACAGAAATCTAGGATAAATTGTAGCTAGCTCCTATTCTTTACATCTTTGAAGAAGGTGCTTTCGATACACATAGATGGTGCCAGTTGGAGCATGCGGCTAACTCCTCGCAGTCGGCTCATGCTATATATTGAACGAGATTTTGCTTGTATGGGCTTCTGAACCACTGTTGTTTCTCGTCAGTAATTACTCCTTCTTTGGTATCCAACCGTACCATTTCCGGGTCGCTTACGTTTGGCTCCATCTTTATGATCTTTCGTTGACATATGGGGGAGATTATGGCTTTCTCAGGGTAGAGTTCGATCTTATCACGTCCCTCGCTATGCCAAATCCGGACTTTTTGCGTCCTTTCGGACAGTGGATAGCCCAGCCTGTGCCCTGTATTGTTGACTCTTGACGCCTCCTCTCTGATCCCAGGCTTATTTGGGAGATAGAACCCTCTTGACTTGTGAACGCTAGAGCATCAGTAGTATGATGCATTTCTTTGAGTAGTTTATTCCTGTCTTGGAAGTTTTTTTCGGCCTCGGCCAATTGTATTTCTAACTGTCTCTTATGCATTTTGGTTTCGAGAAGTTGCTTCTGAAGGCATTCGATGCTCTCCTCGTTCTTGTCTAACATCTCATCCAATCTTTCTACCCGCTTCTTGAGCTTTTCAATCTCCTCTTCGTCATCATTGTGGATAGAATCGCGATGTAGTCTTGATGCCTGTCTGCGCTCTTCACGTAGGCATTGGCATTCTTTCTCTTTTTCTCTCAGCTTGGACTGAAGCGTATTGATTGTAGCCTGAAGCTCATTGAAGTCGTTCCCGCATCTGTCAACATTACGTTGATCCAAGCCATCAAGGTGCAATATTGTAAATTTGGAGGCGGTAGGCGATTGAGGGGGTGTAGGTAGGGGTGCTGGTTGGCCTGTTTCAGTCATGGCCCCTTCCGAGCACTGCTTTCCGAGGTCGTCACCGTCATTTCGATGGCTTGATGTTCTAATCTGAGAAGGCTCAGATGATCGTAAGGACCCGGATGCATAGCTAGCATTTGACAATGCCTTTATCGCATCGTTCTCAACATGTTCTTGAAATTTCTGCTTCTCTTTCTCGAAGCAGTCGTTTTTCTGCTCTGTCTCGCGGTTGATACTCATCTCCCATCTCTTTCCGACCGATGGGCTCTTTGAGTCAGCCATGATATCCGGAGCCAGACTTTTGTGAGGGGTGGAATACAACGAGAGAAGACTTGTAGCTTACTCTATTCAGCTTGCCAAGTAATATTTGAGGCTGCATTACAAAGCGGGGTAAGACTATCCTCCAATTGGCCGATGAATAAAATGTCCCCATGATTGAGTATCAAATTTTGCAATAAATGATACAGTATGGCACAGATGTCAATACTTCAAAATCTGCCCTTTAGCCTCTGCGAGTCATGCCCAGAGCAAATCGACGGCATAGGCAACTTCTACCTTCAGCTCCTGGCTCACGCCCCGTCACAGCTCCCGTTATCGACTTTATATTTCCTGGATTCGCACGGTCAAATACCGAGCAAGATACACAATCCCGACTATGACCCTGTCAAGAAAAGCCAAATTGACTGGTTCGTGAAAGCTTCACAAGCGCAACGAAGCGCTCGTGAGAAGGACAATAACGACAACCGCTTCCATCTGTCTTTGGCTTTCCTACATATCCCTCTTCCTGAGTTCGGAGACTGCCATCTTAGTATACGCAACGGCCACCGGAGGGAACCGACTGAGAGCCCTAGCTTCAATTCCCATTTCTACGACGCTTTGGTCAAAGGAGGCATATCAGCATTAGGCTGCGGGCACGATCACGTGAATGACTTTTGCGCTCTGCTGCCACAACAAACGCGGCAGGATGGCGACAAAACCCCTCAGCCTGGCCCTTGGCTATGCTATGGAGGTGGCAGTGGGTTCGGGGGATATGGTTCGTACGGCAGAAAGCGATTTCACCGACGAACGCGGGTTTGGGAACTCGATACGAGTACCGGGAGCTTGAAGACTTGGAAGCGGGTCGAATATGCAATGGACAGAGTTGATGAGCTGGTGCTGGTGGAAAGTGGAGCGGTGATTGATACACCTGGAGAAGAAGATGGAGGCAGACGCTGTATAGTCAGTTGAAGCTAATATTACTACGTGATAAATTAGTTCCTTCCGGTAGGGTAAATATATTTTAGGCTTTTCCGATATCGTTTTAATAAAGTAAGCTTTATACTTTATTAAACTATTTATTAATTTTATTTTCCCCTATTAACTTTTCTATTTCTTTTTATAATATATTAGCGTTTTTTTTTTAATTTTAATTTTAAAGCTAATTTTCTAAAATATTTATAAATTTAAAAACCTAAAAATATTATATTCCCTATTAATTTATAATTATTTATATTATTTTTTATATAATTTGCTTTGCTACTAAAGTTTTTTTTTAATTAAATTAACTATAAAAAACGATTTTTATATATTTTATTTTTTTAATTATTTTTTTAATATATATTTTATATTCTTAAAATAGTAAAAAAACTTTTAGCACTATTTTTTCTATTTTATTATAATATTTTCATTTATTTAAATTATATATTAAGTTAAATATTACTTATAAAATTAAAACTTTAAAAATATTATTAAATTAAGCAAAAAAATTTTAAAAAAGCTATTTTTTTTAAAATAATTTATAAATTTATATATATATTTTATATAATTAAAATAAATAAATATAATAAATTAATTAAATGTTCTAAGTTTACTTTTAAAAATATTAATAGTATATTTCTAAATTTATATTATAGCTTAATTAAGAAATTTTAAATTAAATTCTTTAAAAAACTAATATATTTAACCTTAAAAATATTTTTTCTTAGTAACTTTTATAAATATTCTTTTAATAAAATTATAAAAAAAAAAAGCTACTTTAAAAAGTTTAGTTTATATAAAATAAATAAATACTTTAAGAAAATAAAATAAAGTTTAAAAATATTTAGCTTAAAAAATTTATTTAATAAAAATAGAAATTTTAGAAAATAAATAATAAAACTTAATATATAATTTTTTTCCTATAAATATAATAGCAATAAAGTAATATAAATTAAAACTATTATATAAGTTATTATATAACTTAGTATTATTTAGATTATAAAAAGTTTTATATTTATTTAAGATTATATTTTAATAAAAGTTTTTAAAATATACTTTAATAATATAGAATAAACTCTTAATAACTAATAAAATATAAAATAGAAATAATAAATATAATATTCTAAAATAGTTAGAAAAAATTTTTTAAATATTATTATAATTAAAATAGAAAATAAATTTATTGTTAATAGATAAAGCTACAATAAAAATAAATCTAACGTCTTAAGTAATATATAGAAATTGTTGGCTCTTTGTTGTCGGTAGTATTTAATCGATGCTTTGACTTAGTGTTGTCGATCACACGCGATTAGCTGACCGTCTGGATGGTGGCGGAGATGCTTGCGATGGAAGTGCTTCTTGAGGTCGCCGCGAGCCGCGAAAGTCTTCAGGCGTTTAGCATCCGGGAGACCTTTATTCTCGAGGCAAAAAATGCACTGCGTGGCTTTGCATTTGACCGGCAGCGTTTCCGACAGACTCGGCGGTGGAGAGACTAAAGTCTGCTCCTCTTTGACCATGATGTCTGCTCTGCGGCGACAGAAGCCTTGGCTTTCCTGCTTCTTGCAGAGTGCAATCAACGCATTAATGGCTGTGACTCGCCGTTGACATTCCTCCTCGGTTGATGATGTAGCAAAGGTGAAGAGCGCGTCGATAGCGTAGACCTTTTCCGCGAAAACATATTCAGCTGTCTGAAGAGCTTCCTGTTCTAAGACCGGTGATCCCTTCGATTGTCGTTGGATGTCGATCACCGGCTGCTCCTTCTTGTACCTCTCTTTGACCTCCGTCAAAAGAACCTTCTTATGTCGCCGTCTCAAATTGCGATGAGACTGATAGGTTCGCCGGTAATGATTATACAAGGGGGCCCCTTTCGTGCTGGCGATAGAACCCTTCTGTTCTTGGAAGGTTCGCAGCAGTAACTTCGACCACCGACGCAGAAGTCTTACCTCTGGGTGGCGATCGACCTCAGCCTATTGCGCAACACTAAGTTTCCTCGGCCGTCGAGGATCGATCCTGCGACTCATCCGGCTGGCGGCTCGCATCAGGGCGGTCTGTGGTTTCAAGCCGCGGTAGGCGGCCTGAGTGTTAGGCATATATCTCGAGGCGTAGTTCTTCTAGAAAACGGAGGAATTGTGATGTTGCAGGATGATGTTCCGCTTGGCATCCGTAATTCTACCTGTATACCGGTGAGCATAGCCTTCGACCGACGATCATCGTTTACTTACTGCTGTTGTCGAGAGCTTGCCCATTACCACGTCGGAAGGTATATAGAACCGTGGGAAGTTCCATGCCGGTGATGCTCCCGAGATTGGTCATTTGGGGTCGGAGAGTGGTGTCAGCCAGAGCTTGCTCCTCAGATATCTGTATGCTTTCCACGGTATTTTTGCACCGCCGGAACAGAGGTCTGTCCGCCATCTCCTCCTTCAGAGGCACCGGCAACTGTTTCTGCCTCCAACTCAACTACAACAACAAACACCGAGCTCTACCCAATCCCACATTCCTCCCCGCCCCTAAACCTTGACTTCAGCAGCGGACACATACCCGCCTCCACGGCCTCAAAAATCATGGACAAAGCTCTCGTATCCTTCGAAGCCAAATATCCCGTCGAGATCAACGATCCCGTTCCCCAATGTGGTTTGGAATTCCATGCCCCGCAGTTTCCGCAATTCAGCTAGAAGTTTTATCATGTCCCGTTTCGGTACGATCCTGAGTTTACGGAAAGGATTGCGAGGCAGGGTGTAGATGGGTATAGGAGGTGGCTTGCTAAGAGTGCTGGGAAGGAGGAGGCGGGGTTTAATCTTGTGGGGATTGTGGCACGGGATCAGGGGAGGGTGTATGGGTTTCTGCAGTTGGGAGAGCGGGTGGCGGCGTTTTGAAGGGTCTGTGGGTTGTGGAGGGACGTTTGGCGTTGTCTTCATGCTTTGTTTGCTGGATGTCGGGTCAATCTCAAAGGTAAGCAGCAATTTTATCCAAACCCGCGGAGTCATAAACCCTCGCTCTTGATCATGTTCAAGATTACTAGGAGCTATGTACATCTCCCTGTTTCAATCCCCGCCGCTGAAGCTACGGCACTTCCGTCTTGTTCCCGTTGCCAAAAGCACTTGCAAGCGCTTGATGACAGCGAGAGTATCAATTGATGCTAGCTTAACGTTGTGGCAGCATTTTTGATGTCTATGACTTTTAGTAGCTATGCAGACGTATTCAAGATTAGATATGCGACCTCGTGCCTGAAGTATTGCCTCGCCATAGGATGGGTGTAAGTACTGCACCTTCATTGGCAAGAGCTTTGAGGACTTATGAAGATGTTTCTATACTTTGTGGCTGTTCAATGCTCTCATAGACGCAAGTGATTTTTTGGCCTCGCTTTCGTGCGCTTATTGCGAATTATCATGGTACATTCACAAGTTGTGCATCGAAGATTTAGTAGCACGTATTGTGAGGTGTTTTGTTGGCAGAGTGGTAACGGTGACGTGCTAGTGATGATAGTTATCGCTTATCCTCGAGATTCACAGTGACATTCGCTGATGTTTCATCTTAAGAGGCCGGGGAACAAGTCCTGAAATCGATGGAAAGTTGATAAGTACCTGTAAGCTGTCTTATTTATAGGTGCATAGTAATCCAACACTTTTATCGCTGCGACCAAGGAAGCTCTTTGTCGATTTAAATAGTTTTCCGAAACGTCCTTATAGTCTATATTGTTTTAAAGCTTTCGGTAGACGATACTTAAAATAGAAGTAAGGACAACTTTATAGAAAAAGTGTTTGCAGGGCATTAGCAATATACTTATAGTAATAGCTAAGCGGGATACTAACATTAGCAACTAGCATTTGTGTAGAAACGAGCCGAGTTTTAGAAATATAAAGCAGAGATAAAATAGATCTAAGGCTGCGTTGAGACTAAAGAGCGTCAGCTTTTAACGCTTTATCTTTTATCTTATCGAAACACTACAAGAAAATAACCTACCCTGTCTAACTGAATTCTTTTACGCTAAATTTGAGATTTGTAGGGTCTAAGGTAGCTCCGATATATACAAAGGTAGTTTTCAATAATAAGGGATATATTAAAGTAATGACGTTCCCTAGATGTATAGCTTTAAGATACAGCTTTTAAACATAAGCCAATATCTATATAAAGGAAAATAAGTTTATTCGAGCAATTCTAGTTTTATTATCTATGTTCTCTAATTACGCTTTACTTGTAAGGTTGGACTATTCTGGCGAGGGAATAGCTATAAGGGATAACTTATTTATATAGTATTTATACCGGCTAATAGAGACTAAGGAACCTTAGTTACAACTTCGTAGCATATAACAATAATTGTCTAAGAGATAAACTATTATTTGACGCGCGGAAAGACGGTTGCTACTATTATTTATTAATTGTCAAATTGTCTATATTAAATTCAGTAGGTAGAGAGCATTTAGCGAGCGTTAGGGAAGACTAACCGTTAGTATACTATTAAGTTTGTACCTAACTTTGCTAATTAAAAGTAGATTAAGCTGTACAGAGAGCCAACTAGGGAAGGGCGTACTTAGTTATAAGCCTATCTTTATTAAGGTAAAAAGTTGAAGCTAACCTACCTATAAAAGAACTATATAGTACTCTATACTTGCAGCTATTCTTCGTAATTATTTATTCCTAAAGATTAAGCCGAAGAAGCTCTTATGCCTAAAAAGTAAGTCTAGCCGATATCTAATGCTAAATCTAATAATAAGTTAGCCTTATAAGTGTAGATATTACGCACTAGCAATAAGGATTACCTAGGTATTGCCGAGCTGTATTGGGTCTTTCTCTAATATAGTAAAGACTAACTAAAGCTGTTATTCGTATTATTTGTAAGCTACTGCTCCAATCCTCGTCGTCGAGGTACTGTCTACTATTTTCATATTATATAATAATTGTATTATCGCTATTGTCATTACTAATCTAGGCCCCTAAAGCTAAAAACTAGGCAGATCTCGCTTATTTCCTTATTTGCTATGTTACCTAATTTATTGATAGCAGCAGTAAACTGTAGCTCTAGTATATCCTTATTAAAGAAGTAGAAGATACTATTAATTCTGTCTAGGAAAAAGCGTATTAATATCTTAGTTGTAGAGTCGACGTAGTAATTAAACGGGTTTAGTAGTTTAGTATAGGTACCGCGCTAGTCAGGCGCTAGGGTAAGGCTTACTAAAGCTAAATCATCTATAGTTTGCGAAGCGCTAGCAAAAGCCAGGGAAGCTTCGACTAAAAGCTCTTCTATCTGCTCTGTGAGAGCCTGAGGCGAAGAGCAAATCGGTTCTTGCGGTGTCGTTACATCTCCGTCTTACGCTTCTCGCGATTTCCCAGCGCTACGCGAAGGGCGCTACTTATCAATTAGCTCAAATTCAAGGCTAAGCATCGCTTTTGAGCACGTTGGGATCAATAGATTGTGCAGCAAGGAGCAATAGCATCCCATAGACCGCCAGGGTGCCCCTCTTGATCTCCATGAGACTCAACGGTGGGCAAGCCAGAATCATGCCCTTGGTTGCCGATGACTTCAATTATGAAATAGCAAAGCCTCTAGAGTCAAGATGAGCACCCCTGCCAACAGTCAACGGAAAGATTCCTTGAGATCTAAGATGTTGACCACTTTGGGAATCACGGGATCGCATAGCTGAAAATAAATGTGAATTTACTATATATTTACGCATGGCCGCGATGTGACTTTCAAGGATAATATGAATTATACGTACTATTTGCTCGAGATCTCTTCCAAAACGATTGGTTTTAGAAGCCAATAGGCTCGACTAGCTCCCCCGGGTGAAGAGAAGTCGCCGTAAGAACATTAGAGGTTTTCCGTCGCACACATTATATAAATAGGTCTTATAGCATTATAAAGCCGACTTCGAGATTTGCATTGGTTATAGCCTACTAATCTTTGTCCTCTAGCATCAATTGAAGTCGTTTCTACGAGTCGGGCAATAGAAGCTACGTCTTTGCCGGCTTGTAGGCTTTGTAGAATATCTAGAGTTTGAGAACGGGCCATCTAGGAGCCGGACCCAAGAATGTCGAAAAGCAATAATAAGACCCGATCCTTCTCTTCTAGATCCTAAATATATAACTTGATATTGCCCTTAGGTAATTGAGCATATATCAGGTATTTATATGCACTCCTTCTACTCTTAGCATAGTTGCTGCAGGGCTGTCTACTATTACACTATCGGAAGTAAGCATAACGGGTAAAGCACGTACGGATACCATCCTAACATCTTACCTTTACCCGCTTCTACCGACAGCTGACACAAGCGTTTCTCGTGACTTGTCCACGGGAACTTTGGCCTAAAGATGCTATAATCACAATGCGTAGGGATCTATCTTCGCTTCTTTGCTTGTAGGCTTATGTCGTTTAATAATTATGTAATGTTTTACCTCCAATAGATGTATAATAAGTCTTCCGACTCCAAGCCGTTTAAGGTACCAACGATCAATAGAGCAATCCTAGTTGATAATCGGCCTATGATTCGCTCTTAAGCGTTTCAAACCCTAAATATGCTAGGCTAATATTGTGTTTAAAAATAGTTTAGTCGTACAATTCAATACCAGATCTATCAAAATCCCATGCGAACGCAAGAATCGGATGGCGGATATTAGATCTTCGAACAAGACGTGAATCTGCAAGCGTAAGGTAAGGTAGCTGTCGTGGGAGCGGCACGATCCAGCACCCTTCAACTCTCTATTGGACAAGGGCGATTCGTTGCATAGAATATCGGCTAAGGCTTCATATAGAGAATTGGATAAGGCAGTCGCGTTCCAAACATATCGGAAGAGTATTATACGGATAGAGCACTGAAGGGTGGCAAATGATAATGTAAGCAGTATCGGGTAGCGCACCCTAGATCGGCGATCGGATAGGGGAGATTGAGGGGGATTCTGCATAGTATCGATTTAAATAAAGTTGGATGCTTTTAGACTAGCCAAATCATGCTAATCATTATCTTTACAATGCAGTCAAGTCTGCGGACTCCAAAGATTAATCTAGTCGTCTCTAGGGAGCTTCTGCACGTCAACGCCGTGAATATAATTAGTCGACTGGGAATCTCGGAGGGTTGAGTCATCCCTAGCTTATCGAGCGGGGTGATAAAGTAGCGATTGGGTCATGCCTAGACCACACGCTTGGCCTGTCAAAATACTTGTAGGTAGGGTTCGATGGGCACATTCTAGCCGAAATCGCTTGACGATGCCCAATCTTCCTTAGGCGAAGCTGAAGCGTGAGAGCGATCTCACCAGTGTTCTTGTCGCGCAGCACGAACAGATCGATATCGCCATACGTGATGCCCAACAGGGGCCCAGGGCGGGAACCGGTGAGCGCGGCCAGCAAGAGGATAGTGGCAACATACAGCCGATAACGTTCGTACGGGAAGAAGTTGGTATCGGTCACCCAATGACAATGC